TTTATGATCTTGCTGAAAATATTCTACCACAGAGTTGACATAAAAGGAAAAAAAGTCGGGGAGTATGGATGGCAGACTAATAACCCTCAAAAAAGTCCATGTCCTAAACCTCAGAAACTGTAAATATGTTACCTTGCATGGCAAAAAGAAATTAAGACTGCAGGCAGTATTCAGGTTACTAATTATCTGAGCTTAAGATAAGGACATTCATTATTGTGGGTTATCTCAGCGGGTTCAACATAACCACGAGGGTCCTTAAAAGTGGAAGAGGAGGCAGAAGGGAAGAGTCAGAGGAGACATGGTGACAGATGCCATGCTGCTGGCTTTGAAGATGAAGGGAGTGGCCATTAGCCAAGGAATGCAGGTAGCCTCTAAAAGCCAGAAAAGGCAAAGAAGTGAAACCTCCAGAAAAAATGCAGCCCTGCCAACACCTTGATTTTATCTTAGTGAGATGTGTAATGGACTTCCAAACTACAGAAATGTAAGATAATCAATCTGAGCTGATAATCAGACTAAGCCACTAAATTGGTGGTAATCTGTTACAGCAGCAATAGGAAACTAACATGGAGAGTAGAAGGAAAGGGGACAGGAAGAGAGTCGTCATCACTATTTGGATGAGTGATTCATAGGAAGCAATTTCATTTTGCTTTGTCAGTCCCAATTAATTAAGGAACACTACCTAAATTGACATGCATCTGAGGAGCACCCTAACTTCTGGGCTGAGAGAAACTAAGGCTGGATTTACTGTTTTGCTGTCAGGTCTGAATTTCATTCCCATCTCTAGTACCATTCAATAGGGAGGAAGGCAAAATCTACAGGTAGCCCAAGGGGAACCAGCCATGACCCCAGATTCAGCTCAGTGTAGCAGGTCCTGAGGCCCAGCACCAAACACCAGCTATGCAATGGCAGAAGTTAATAATACATACGTGAGTGATTCCTTAACCAAAACCACCCCCAAATCCATTTCCTCTGCACGTAAGCCAGATAGTTCACAATTTTTAAAACAAAACAACAACAATAAAAACCAATAAGGATTTCAGGGCAAAAAGGTTGTTCCAGCTATGTCTGGCTAGAGAAGGAAAATGTTTCACAGTGAAAACCAAGGAATGATTGTAAAGTCTAGTACCAGTGCTGCAAAAGCCAGGAAATAGCCCCACTGGGTCTAATTTCCTCACCTATAAAGTGAAATTTGCCTTAGCTCTCTATTCTCTAGCCCAATTGCACCAGCTACCCCAAGAAGGACACCTATATGCTGTGAAATGTGAAATAAGCTCTTCATTTTAAATATGTACACAAACATGTATAACACTAAAGACCCTTCTTGACTCAGTCACTGCCACAATCCCACCAGGTGATATGTAAGTCCTACCTAAGAATCACATGGTCAGTACACGTGATTTTAAAAAGCAGCTACATAAGCAACAGCTTCCAACATCCTCAGTTTCTCCAATTTTTCCCTTTCTGCCCTCAACAAGTAGCTGAGAACATGTAGTGAAAAAAAGCACAGGATTAGGAGTGAGAGAATGAAGTCCACATTTTACGCTCTTCACTTCCTGGATAGTGAAAGCATACAAGCAGGTTCCTTTGAGCCACTCAGTCTTCAACTACAAGAGGAGGAACCATGGAAATTCACCTCCCGCGTGGCTGTTCTGATCATAAAATGAGCTTGCCAGTGGGGATGGTCCTTGTCACCTCAGAAGTGCTGAATGCAGGTGAGTCAACATCATCATGGTGACTGAAGTCAACGGATACAGGCATGGCAGAAAAGACTGACAGGTGATCAGTTAGCTTCTCTCAGGTTTAGGATCTTTGTATGTCAAAGAGGGAAGATAATATATACTATGAAGGAGATTCTGTATGATGAACATGAAGTCCATGGTGCGGTGCTTACACGCAACAGACGTTCAATAAACGCAAGCGAGGAGTGTGCTGGTGTAGGGTCTCCCAGCTCCCTAGTGTTTTCTTTCTGTATCTTGACCAAAAATCAGGGTTCCTTTACTGCTCTGTGACCCGGCCAGCTGCAGGATTTCCCAGGAGGCTCATATCAGAACTGAAGCCTCAAACATTCTCAGCCACGAATAAAAGTATCTAGGTTGTTCATGGTGAAATTCCATCACTACTAAAAATACAAAAATTAGCTGGGTGTGGTAGCAGGCACCTGTAGTCCCAGCTACTTGGGACACTGAAGCAGGGGGATCGCTTGAACCTGGGAAACGGAGGTTACAGTGAGCCAGGATCATGTCACTGCACTCCAGCCTGGGTGACAGAGGGGTAAGACTCCTTCTCAAAAAAAAAAAAAAAAAAAAAAAAGAAGAGTGTCTAGGCTGTTGTGCAAGTTGCCAAAGACACCACTGAAAGAAAGTGGCCTTGACCCTGAGCCAAATTCCTTTAACCTTCATAAAACTCCATGTCCCGACCACCTCGCTGTGGACATACCCAAGTGGAACACTCCACACCCCTGTCCCCTTGCTGCCTGTGGCAAGGACTTAATAATTGCTTTAAACATATCACCCCGGCATTTAGTGCTTCTTTCTTTGGAATCCCAACAGGCCTTATATCAGGATGGTTTGGGGCATGCCTGGCGGGAACGCTACTGCTACCACGTTTGGGGTGATTCTAGCTGCAAGTACAGTGGGACCAAACAGATGGCCTGTAGTCCCTCCCACATTCTATGATGCTCTGGGCTGTAACGGTAGAAACAATTGCAAAAACCATTAGAGAGCAACAAGTTTACAAATCTTGATGATTCCTTTCCATGTGTATATGCCAACCACAGCAATAATTTTAAGGGTCAAGTTGCCCCAAGTGCTAAGCAGAACTTTTTACTGAACAAATTACTGAACCCTAGCATTGTTGTCAGTAATTGCATCATAAGCTGTGGCTAAGCAAACATTACCACCTACACTGAAAAAACACCAATTAGAAGCATTCAAAGAATATGGAGGGCCACCATCTCCTGAGCCCCTGTGACATGGTGGGCACTGTGGTGGACACTCCTGAACACGATCTCCAGTTCTTACAACTGTCTGCTGGGTGGGCTTCAACACACCTGCTTCATCAGGTGACTCACCTGTGGCAATCCAGGATCTGAAAACAAAAATAAATGTCCCTAAAGCCTGCAGGCCTCCCTCTAAATCACTCCAGTGCTTTTATGCAAAGACTGTACCTTTTCTTCTGTCTGCATCCTCTTACACACCTTTGACTTGGTTTCCAAATTAAGACAAATGCTACGCTTCTAGAAAGAGAGAGCACAAATAAACTGCACTATGCCTTAGACTCCATGTATACCAGCTAAGGGGGCCCCAAACCGAAGGTAGTACCAACAAGTAATAAAAGGATGCTCTCTCTATCTACACTTTGAAAAGCGATGCCTTTTCTGCCTGAACACCTGCCTCCTTCTCCAGAGCCCTCTTACCTTGAAGGAGACATGCTGCTCCATGTGCCGCAGCAGCTGGGGCTTCTGGGCAGCTGTGTAGTCACACACCGTGCACTTAAACTGCTTCCCTGGAAAGAAGCAGAGGACAGGGTGAGCATCGCCAGGCCAACAGCTCCCACTGTGAATGAACTGCCAGGCATGGAGCCAGGTACACAAAGGTGTCCCTTGCCACGTGAGGATCAGAATCTCAGATGGGAACAGCAAGGAGGCGCACAGGCATGATGCAGCAAGCTCAGTCTTCAACAAGTGGGAGTGGAGAGGAGCTCCCAGGGAGGGAGAGGCATGGCCAGCTCAACCCAGGGTGGCCCTGTGAGCAATGACACCCAATCAGGCCCCTAAAGGAAGAGTAAGGGTGTGCCCAGCTGCCGAGAGAGAAGGGCATTGAGGGGTGCACACGGATGAGATTACAGGGGAATTGACCACAAGGTGGTCAGGAAAGTGGAGCAGCTGCATCTTCCTTCCTGGGGTGCGAGGTCTGCAGAGAGTCAAGAGCTGAACCGGAGAGGTTGCTGGCCCAGAATATCAAGGGCCTGGATCATCTCACGGGACCTCAGACCTGACCCTGAACGTCAGGCGAGTCTGCAGGATGACAGTCAGCAAAGTGCAGGATCTGTGCTGCAGAACTCCTAACTCTGGTTGGGGTGTAAAAGGCATTTTTGAGAGAATGCTAGAAAGAAAATTAGGGACATGTAAACCAGTGCTGTTAAAAAGGCTAAGGTTCTGGCAATATTTAAACATTCGATAATGGGCTATGTTAAAACAGATGAATAGATATATGAGGCACATTACATTTTGCCTCTGATTAGCATAAATAAAACCTCAATGTGTAGCAACATAAACATGTGTAACAAAAGTAAATGTGGCCTACTTCTTGTAGCAGTAAAGAATTCAACAAGCAGCTTTTAATGGTGCTAACCGCCTCACGGTTATTACACCCACAGCCACTGTGGCTGGATTCCCAGAAGCAAGCTCCTCCCAGACCCTCTTGCACCTTTCCCCCTCCCCTCTATTTACTGCCAGCTCACCTGGAAACTTGTTTTCACTATGATTCCAAGCCAATGGCGGATTTTGGTCTGTATGTGTGACTTGATCACTCTATTGCATGTGACTCTGCTAATAGTCCATGCTTTGGAAATCTTCCGTTCCTTTGACTCCACACCACGAACACCTCTTTGGGTATCTCTATTCATTCTGAGTACCCCTGAGGCACACCCTCTCATCAGAGCAACTATCATTAGGCCATGATGTTCCACAGTGTTCCAGTCCACACTCCTATTCTACCTCTACAAGCATCCTTGTATATAACTCACCCCTACAGGCTTTTGTAAACCTCTGATGCCAAAACTAACATCCTCTACTCTGATCTCTTCACTCAATCTAAGACCTGAGTATCCAACTGGACCAGCCACTTAATGGTCCCAAATGTCCTAAGTTGGACTCATCTTCACCAAACCGCTTCCACCTCCAGCCCTCCCAGTTTATCATCCATCTGATCACCTACATCGACACCCAGTAACCTTCCTCAACATCCTTATGGCCCTAACCTTCATTCATCTCATTATTGTTCAGCACCTGATTTCATTTCCTATATATTTCTCATATCTGTCTATTTCTCTCTATTTCTAATACCTCCACACTGGTTTAGGTTCTCCTCATTTCCTTCTTGGACAACAGCAAAAGCCCCTAAACTGGTTTCCTTGCCTTCATAAAACTCTACCATCTATCCATCCATCCATCCATCCATCCCTCCATTATCCACAATCCACCCATTTATCCACACATGCATCCTGATGCCTTATCTTCTATCCAGATGATCTACAGCATAAACCATCCCACGGTCCAGCCATCAGAACCCACCAATGTCCTCAACTTCAAAAAAAAGTTGATGTTCCAGAGCTTAGCAGAGAAGGCCCTCCAGGATCAGAACCAACTCTGCCCACCCCGCCCCTCTGGCTTCCTCTTGTGCCTGTTCCCTCTGTATTTAGGCTCATAACACTGAACTCCCTGAGTTCTCCAAACTTTCTGCCTTGCTTCTGCAATCTCAGACCCCTTGAGCCTTTGCTAACATTTTCCATGCCTGGAATGCACTGTCTGGCAGCACCTGGCCATTCTTCCTGTTAATTCAGAACTCAAATTGAATGCTCTTGTAATTGGGCCAGGAGCCAGCCCTCCACAGGCCCCTATACACTATCCACTTGCTTCAGTCTATGCACCACCTCTACAGCCTCGTATAAGGCAGGGGCTGCCTTCAGCTGAACATGGGCAGGGACACATCCTACTCATCTGGGTACCTCAGGGCATGAATGCACATACAGACTGAATATATTCCATGCATTTCATTAAACTGAACTGAGCAAAAATTCTGTACATCTTATATGAACAACACTCTCACTAAAAGCAGCAAAAGGAAATAAATATTAGTATTACAGTTGTATCAATTATTCTAGTTACTAAACCCAAAATTCTAAATTTCATTAATTCTACAAGCCTGAAGTGTGAGGAAAATTTTTCACTTCTAAGGCATATAAGTTATAATTAGAGACAAATTACAACTTTAAAAAATATATAGCAACATCTTCTTTCAAACACAGGAGGTCCTACCCACCATCTCCCCACTCAAAGTCACCACAGATTTCTACACATCTCCAGTCAAATCTCAGCTAAACACACGTCTCCACTGACGCACGGCTCATGTGCATACAGCATCATCACATTGGGCAGCCTGGGCAAAATCATGCTGTGTTCTTCACCACTAGAGTAAAGCTGATGGAACCATTCTCTGAGCTGATAAATATTCTGTCATTCATTATCAAATACTTGGGTCAAAGAGTAATAGATTAAGTGGTAAAAAAGGAGCTCTGAAATGAATAAATGGGATTGCCTCGTTTGAAATCAAGAGTCAGCCTTTTATGGATGTAATTCCAAGGCTCTGCAAGAGACAAGGAAAGAAGGCAGCACCTAAAAGCCATCCCTTACTGAGGCATCAGAGCCCTGGCAATAAATGTTACAGATGTTTTCAGCAACCACTGACAGCCCCTATCAAACAGGCCCAGGAGAGCACCTGACACAATTTTTTGCTGCCTAATTAAAATAATGGGATGCAGATTCATGACTAATCATAAAAGAGCAATACTTTGAGACCATCAGATGGCTTTCTATCAAGAGACATCTGAGACTTACAGGCTGAGTTAACTGCAAATCCTAGTATTTACTCGAGGTGAGATTGACCTCAGAGTGCTGGGAGATGCACATCAAATGGCTGTATGTGGATGAGAACCACCCAGCATCCCAAAGGAAGAAAAGAATGATTACAAAGAAAAGAGGCTGACTGTTCTTTCCCCAAAATATACCTGGCTGGGTCTACCCACTGGACTACTAGGCATCACAAGTTGTGCTGGGGCATGATGTATACAATCTCACCACGCACCAAAAGCCCAGGAAGCTGGCAGTGTCACCCTTTCATGGGTGAGGACCTGGGATCGAGACCCTGGGTAGCTTGCCAGGTCACAAAGTGGTAAGTGGCAGAGCCCAGATTTGGCCTCCTATCTGTTGACCCCAACACCCCCATTCACAGCCCCATAAGAATCTTTTCAGCCAATAAGGGTGTGATACAATTCCCAAATGGAAGGAGGAATTTATACCAGCAATGGCATATCTGTGCCACTAACACATAAGGTGACTGCTCATCAGAAAGGGCTGCCCGAGAAGGGCCAGTTGCAAGGGAACGATGTTCTCTTTCTGGCCCTGTCCTGCTCACCGTGAGAGACCCTGGGTTCTTTCGTCTATGCTACTCAAGGCCCCATTAGAAAAATGGGGAGGTAATCCCTGCCTGCTGTGAGGATGGACTCAGGGACTGGGCCTGCAAGCATCTGAAAAGCAGTCCCCTGAAGGATGAGGCTGGGGGTGCCTACAGGTGATCCCGCAGTGGACCATTCAGCTGACTATAGTGCCCTCCAAATCTTTACCTCCCTGACACTCCTTGAGACAATACAAATATTCAGTTCTACTTAAGCCAGCCTAAAACAATAAGCATAAAAACAGAGCAAAGGAAAAGGGTTGTACAATTACAGCAAAGTGTAAGTAAGCAGTTACAACAGCAGAATTGCAGAAAGCTCCTGCTCCTATTCCCAGCACCCTGTCTGGCCTCATCTCCACCCAGAACAAAAGCCAGGAGCTCTGCAGCGGCCACAGGGCACAATGGGGTGTGGCTCCCTGTCACCTCTCTGAGCTCATGCACTATCCACTCCTCTCTCCACCCCACAGACGCAGCTCACCCACCCACCTCCAGGTCTCTGCACCTGCTGTTCCCAGAGCCTGGGGTGCCCATGCCAGATATGTTGTGCTGTGCCATCTCATCTCCTTCAAGTCTCTGTTCAAATGTCACCTTCACACCGAATCCTTTCAGACCATTCTGTTTAAAATCACAGTCCACATGCCCCTTTACTGATTCATTTTTTAGCGTTTCTCAGCTTCTATTTTCATATTGAAATGGAATCCTTTCATATTCATATTTTTCTTTTCATCTCTCAGTTTTCTTAATATTTTAGATGTCTTCAGTATTTCCATTGTAATATATCACATACTTCATTGATTTATAGCACTGATTATCCATCTCACTCACTAGAATTTTCACCTCAGGACAGCGGAGATCTTGGGTTTGGGCTGTGGCTGTAATTGCCGAAGCAGTGCACTGATTTACCTTTGGTTCGTCCGTCCGGCACCCTTGAAGGTTGTGGGTACTCTGAGACAATACTGTGCAGTTTTCACGCCACATCCTCAGTGCTTGGAGGTGAGAGCATGCTGGAGGTAAAGCTAGCAGCTAATTTATAGGAGCACCCCATTCTGAGGTCTGCTTAGCCACCTTTTCTCCCCTTCCCATAACCAACACTGTCACACAGGGCATCACAAGCACCAGTGATACGTGGTCCTACTGACCATCTCCACACTCAAAGTCACAGGAGATTGGACCACAGTGGACAAGAGACCCTAGCTGAGCCAGGAATCTAAACTGTCCAGATACAAAGCTTGCAACTCACGAGTGGATGGGAGTTGTCTTTTTACTCTGTGGGTGAACCAAGTCAACAGGCCAATCTGCAGGCCGCGAGAGGAGAGCACAGCAAAGAGAGACAGAGACAGGACATCAGAATGAAGTAAGGAAGCAGAGAGGAGCAAAAGTGGAAGACGAAGACAGTCACCTGGCTGGCCATGTCCATTCACTCAGCAAGCATTCACGGAGGGGCTGCTGGGTGCCAGGACCACGCCTGAGCCCAGGAGATAAGAGAGGACAAGACAGCAGAGTCCTTGCCTCTGGGGCTCATTACCTAAACGGACAACCAGCAAAAAGTCCAGCAAACAATTACCGATTGCAACAGCCCAAAGGCAAGGAGCCATGGTGCAGCATGAGGGAGTGTGGAAAGGGTGCGGCCATGTGGCCAGGCGGTCAGGGAAGGCCTCTGTGAGGAAGTGACGTTACGCTAAGACAGAAAAATGAAGGCCAGACGCATAAGGAACAGGTGAACACAGCACTGGGAAGAAGGAACTCAAACACAGAGACTCTGAGTCTCTGTAAGATCCCAGGTAACTTTACCATAAATGCCCCTTGTTAGCTTGTGACCTCAAAAGAGTTTCTGTCAACTACAACCAAGAGTCCAAGAAGTACAGCTGTTGAATGAACCAGTGACTGTATGACTATAAAACACCAAGACTCTGGAAAGCAGACAAAAATAGAGCATGACCAGACAATGTTCTCTAGAGAGAACAGAATCAGATTTACTGAATTGAAAAAAGTCCAGTGACAGCATACTCTTATATACAGCACTATGAACCAATGCTACAAACGCTTTATGACCATTAATTCATTTAACGGTCACAATACCTGTTTGATTTTATGAGCTATCACACAAATAAAGATTACAACATGGTAAGATTTGATACCCATTAAACTAAGAAACTAGACATTTTTAATAACAAAGTGTTAAAAATGAAAGAGTTAAGCTGGGATACTTTCTTATTTCTGCTACAATTTTTTGAAAAGTATGTAGGCAGCACAACGCACGATTAAAACCACGAAAACAAAATAGCCACCCTGGTCCTGGAACTGTGTCCTAAGGAGTTAATTCAAAATAAGAAAAAGTTTATACGCCAGAAAGAACCTCCTGCCACATAAGTTATAATAATGGGAGAAAAAACAAAAATAACACATTGTCCAGAAATAAGGGAATGGTTCTGCAACTCATGGATCACCTTAGTGCAACATGCAACTCTTAAACCCTATTAATGAACTGTACAGCAACAAAGAATTACTATAATGTTAATTTCAAGTCCGTAAGAACTGTAAGAATGATACACTTTCATTACAACTATATAACCACTCCATATGAGCATGAATAAAGATTTTTAAAGAATCCTTTGTTAGGTGATACAATCGTGTTGCAGGAAGCGGTTGGATTTTTATGAACATTGTTTTCGTGTTGTCTGTGCTCTAACAGAAAAGCTTTTCAGATAATTAGCCTCCATCTCTGAAAGGCTGAGACGTTTCATCTGCTACTGCATACAGACCAGAAGACGGGTCTTTCAATGCAGAGACATAAAATGATACCAATGGCTTCTGAACTTGAAAGTTCACCATCTTTTAAAAAACAGCACTCCAGTCTTGACTGGCTGTGCACTGATTTCTGGTGTTCTTTCTGACAAAGCATCTTTCTCCCTCTTCTTCACAAAAAACAGCAAGTAGCCTAATTTTGTGAAAGTCTCAGGAGTAGTCACTTCTTGTCCTCTGGGGCAGGATTTAATTTCTGTCAACAGTCAAATGTCATTTTGAGTAACGTCTTATAAATAAAGACAAAACAAAGCTGAGTCATACGACTTTTTGGAGAAACACTCTTGCAGAACACACACTCCAAGATTACTGCAAAAATACTGTCACTTTGGGGGGGGGAGTGGCGGGGAAGCTGACTGTGGGAACAAAGACTCCCTGGTCAGAAACTCCAGAATTTAGAATCTCATTTCCTTATGAAATTCTTTATTTGGCCCTCAGGCCCAGATGGTGAAAGTCAAAATCATAACAACCTAGATGAATCCCATAAGCATAATGTGAAAAGGAAGAAGGCAGACATAAAAGAACACATATTGTATGAATCAACTCTATGAAGTTCAAAGACAGGGAAAAGCAAGTTACGGTGCTAGAAGTCAGAGGAGTGAGTAGTTACCTCTGGGGAAGAGAGACGGACAATCAGGTTGCAGGGAGGAAGAAATTTCCAAGAGGCTGGCAATGTGCTGTTTCTTCTTCTAGGCTGTAGCTACACAGGTGTGCCTCCTTTGTAACAATCCCTTGTGGTGTGCACTTCTGAACTCTGTGTGTGTGTGTGTGTGTGTGTGTGTGTGTGTGTGTGACTTTAATTTTAAAAACATAAAAAGAAAACTAACACAACAACAAAATAGGCCACCTTCCTTAGAAGGTTCTTGAGAACTGGCAACAAGTTCATTTAAGAAAGGAAAGATAGGTTGTGTAGTTCAAAGATAAACTTTGAGAACTGTTTGTAGATTATGCAGGCTGATGTTGGCAGTGGAAGGAAAAAGGACTCCATCAGTGTTACTAGCCCTGTGGATTTCAGTTAGACATCTTTCTGAGTGCCAGGCTTGCTGGAAGTTTCTACTGCAGACACTGCAGCTCTTTCTAGAAACACAGTATTTCACCAGGAGCTCCATTTCCCTAAAAAATATGTGATCTGGTTGAACTCTCCTTCAAAGATGGGGATGCAGGCAGCAAAAATGTCATGTCCATTATTTCTGTTCATCTCTCCAAAGGTGAGGTACATCTTTGCAAAATCTCTCTCCACTTTCAAGTGTGCTTTTGGAAGGAGCCTCTTTTTTTTGCCTAACCTTGAGTGCTGGGCTGCATGTCCATGGTTGATGGAGCAAAGCTGACCTCTGTCCTTTTGAGCAGTGCCTGAGCCTGGCAACCGGATGCTGGCTGAATTCCAAGGATCACCAGACAGTGAAAGCTAGCACAGGGTCTGGTGTCAGAGAATCCTGAGCTCTGCTCTTTACACCAGCCTTATCCAGGTACAAAGTTACCCAGGCTATCCTATTAGAAAGGTAGGAGGCTTCTTGAAAACAGGAGAGGGAAAGAAGAAACAGGAATACTTGTTATCCTGCCTCAGGCTAGATAAAGAGACAAGGCCAAACCTAAGGGAGGTGGGACTTTGCTTCCTGTGGACTCTCCACGTGGCAGGAAAGGGAGATATTAGTGTAGTAGGTGGGGAAGCCAGCAGGGCACCTTCCTTGCTGAAGGGCTCAAGCAGGAAGTTATTCCCAGCCAGACACAGAAGCACCATGTTGCCCTAGACCTCTGAAGCTCAACTGCAAAACATCGACACTCTGAGCTCCCATTCTCTGCTCCTAAAAAGAAAGGCAATCACTCCCGCCTCCTGGCAGCTGTGGGCAGGCCACTGTCGGATCTGCAAAGCCTCGGCCAGGTGGTTTGGCACTCAGAGTATGTGCAGCACCTGTTGTTCCCTTTGTTTCTTACCACAGCCTCGTCCTCTTGCCGAGTTTCCCTGAGGATGACTACAGCTGCCTTACTTTAGAGTTCTATGTAAAACTAAGATGGAAGGGAATGGCAGAAAAAAAAAATCTTAAAAAGTCACCTTCAGCTTTTGACATTTGGATTCCATCAGAACACAGAGAGAGACAGCAATGAAAAATTCCTTGGGATTTAAAGCAACTTGTTTGAAGTATCTGCTAAATTAAATCATCCCTGCCAAATCACATTTTTGTGTACCACAAACCTGAAGGAACTCTAACGTACTTAGAGGAAAGAATTTCCATAAATCTCAACTGTTATTAGTAATAATATTCTAGAGGCATAAATGGAAAAATGCCTCCTTATGCTGCTTATCCAGTCTTACTGAGAAAGGTGGTATTTTACATAAGTAAATTTTCAAGAGTTTTTAGAAAATTGACTTAACCTTTTTTTTCAGAAGACTTGACTTTTACCCTTTCAACAGTGATACTCTTTAAATATGAACTATTGCACTGTGCCTTCCTAATAAGAGAGTATTTGAAAAAGAAAGTGATTTCATCTTTCCTAGATGCCATAAATTAATTGCTACAAATATCCATTCTTATACTGTGTCATTAAGAGCACTGGTTCATGCAGCAGGGGAATGGGTACATGAGCTGGGTACATGAGTTCATCCATAGTACGAACCCAACTAATCTTCCCACAACCCCATGCTGTGGGTTTATAATGGCTGTCCCAAAGACATCCAGGTTCTAATCTCCAGAACCTATACATGCTACTATATATGGAAAAAAAAAAAAGAAAAGAAAGGAGTTTGAAGATGTGATTAAGCTAAAGATCTTGAGTTGGGGACTAGCCTGGGCTACCCAGGTAGTCGTAGTGAAATCACAAGGGTCCTTACAAAAGGGAGGCAGGAAGCTTGAAGTCAGAGAAGGAGCATGGTGATGAAAGCCAGAACAGAAGAGATTGGAGGACGCTGGACTGCTGGCTTTGAAGATGAAGGAAGGGGTCCATAAGTCACAGGATGCAGAGACACCCTCCCCTCCAGAGCTCCTAGAAGGAATGCACCCTGGCTGACACCTTGATTTTAGATCACTGACCTCTAGAACTGCAACATAATACATCTGTGTTGATCTAGGTCACTAACTTTGCGGTAATTTGTTATAGGAGTCACAGGAAACATGTAATATCCATGTTACAAATGGGAACCACTGTTCCAAGACTGTTCAGTCAAGAAGTGGTTCCAGTCAGGGCCTGCCTCTGGAGCCCACAGTTTTCCCCACTCTGCCTCCCTGCTTCTCCATGTAGCCCAGCACACAGAGGTTTGCTGCTTCATGTAAGAAAAACATCCTGCAGGAAGCATAACAGGTATTTTGCAGCAAGTGTTTTGCAAAGCACATATCTTCACAGTTCTAGCATCTGTGGTGATTTATGCAGTGGCACATCAGAACAGAAATAGCTACAGCAATAAAAATACAGTTAAAGAAGTCTTTGTACTTTAAAGGCACAACTTCAAGCAACTGCAGACTTAGAGCCTGATGATTCTCTGTAATTAGTACATCAGTTTTGATACAAGGAGGGACGGGTCAGCATGAGACAAAGGTGGAAAGAAACCGAAGGCAACAGAAAGCCACACAGACAACAGAGGACAGCAGCAGAGCTAGATGAAAGTTACAGACACAGTGCCAGACGTTTGCAACTGAGACCCCTCTACCTGGTGAGGTTTTGGGTAGCCAAGCCTCATTAAAAAGTTAAATCTGTATATCAGGCTAAGCTAATTGTTCAGTATGCTGCATAGTTCGTTTCATAGAATGGGCTCACTTATTCCCAACAGATCTTGTGGTTTATAAAAACCTGAGAAAAAGAGCTACATATAAACACAAACAGGGTAAACCTATTAAATGGTATTCGTGGGCCCTGAAGTTAGCTCAACCTTCTCCCGCCCATCACCCAGACTCCAGCCCATGGATAAGCAACAGAAATCTACGAGGTTCATCCAGCAGCCACACTTCCACACCCGCCCCTCAACCTCTTCTCCAAGGGCAAGTAGGAGGAAGGACAAGAGGGACAAGGATGCAGTACAGAGACCAGTCTCACTGAAGCCTCGCAGGTTAACCTTGTAAGATCAACCCAGCGAGGTGCTCAGGGACCATTTTCTATTAACTTCCTGGTTCTTTTTTTAGAAGCAAAAGGCCATGGGGCTACTTTATCTCAAAGTGGCTTGGCTTTTTAGAGGACAGAGGAGAAAAACAAAACAAAACTCCATACTTAGATCTCCTAGAATATTTTAATCTGCAGCTATGGGATATCTTATCATAAATTGAAGAAGGGATAGGAAAAAAGGGTACTTACTACACTCAAGCCTGATTTCCATACTCAGCTCTCCACTTGTCTACTGTAAGAGTGCTTGAAGCCTGGATAATTCTTTTTATATTTTACCCAAAAACTTCTTAACTAAAATATACAGGGGCAGTTTCAATCAGGGGAAGGGGAGAGACCCAAAAGAATTAGTAATAAACTTCAAAGAGCTTTTTATTTCATAATTTAAGAATTTTTGTTTGATTACATAGCATAAAGGCACTATACGGTTTAACCTTTCCCATCTGCTATCTGCTATGGGTGGGCAGAATCATGTATAAACCTCCAACAGCACATCATGTCTAGGCCCTCTTTAAAGTCAAAAAGGGGAAACTATGTTACAGCATGATCTTTGCATTCAATTCTTGCATCCTGTTGGCCTACACACAAAGGGTTTAATCGGGCCCTTTATAGATCAATTTCTCTCTTTGCACATATTGACTGGCAAACCTTTCTAACTGAAACCTTCACCCAGAATGAGCTATCTTTTCTAAGGTATAGTAATGAGCTCCTTTGGGAAATAGGAATGCCACAGATAGGGATATATCACTGTAAATAAGCCAGCAAATGGGAAAAATTGGATTCACAAGTAGTTAGAAGAAAGAGTAATTACTCAATTCCTTTTTACTTCATTAAAGAATGCCCAAGAAGATTCATTTAATAGTGAGTTACTTGACCATATTTTAAAATACCTAATTCACAAGCATTTGATTTATCAGAATTAAGTGAGATGAAATGGAGAAAATAAGTGGCACTTTTTGAGTACTACTATATCCCAACCACTTTACGCAAGGCACTTTACATTTTCAACTCATTAAATGAACGCACATTTATTGAGTGCCTATGATAAGCCAAGCCCTGTTCTTGGTGCTAAGGATGCAAAATAAATGTAGTAAATCGAAAATCCCTCCTCGTGAAGCTTACAGTCTAGTGGAAGACAATGGAAAATCATAAATAAGAAAGTTATATAGTGCATTGGAGAAGGGTTGGTTTAAAGAGAAACAGTAAAAACATGAAAGAGAGTGTGAAGTAATTAGTGGGACAGTTCCAGTAATAAAGACAAAAAAGTGGTAAATAAGGAAACTATATAATATACTAGAGAAAGACAAGCCAAGGAGAGCAGCAGAGGAAGCCAAGGGAGTCTGGATTACCTGGTGGGGGTATGGAGACTTTACACACGTGAGCACCTAAGGGAAGACTCATTCACAGTGACTCTTCAATAAAGACTTCCAGGACATGAAGGAGGTCTCCATTCAGACAGGGGGAAAGAACACACCAGGTGGAGGGAAGGACCAAAGCAAAACCCTTGAGATGAGCACATACATGGCAGGTGTGATGAACAAGAATGGAGACAGTATGTCAAAAGAGATGCCAGCCATGGGAGAGCAGAAGAAAAGAGGTCAGAAAGACGGGGGGATCAAACAGGTCACGGTGAGGGACTGGGCTTCCACTCGGCATGGCGGCAGATAGACAGGAGGGTTCTGAGCAGAGAAGGGGCACGGCCTGGCCTCTGTTTCCACAGGATCACTGGTTGTTTTGTTGATAATAGACTTGTGTGGACCAGGACAGGTTCTACGGAAAGCGGTTAGGAGCCTACTGCCAGAATGGAGGTAGGAGATGACAGGGGTCTGCACAAAAAGGACGGCATGAGGGGGCTGAGAAGTGGGAGAACTCCAGATCATGTTAAAAGAGAGAACACACAGGATTTGCTAATGGGTCATGTGTGGGGTATGAATGAGACAGTCAAGACTGACCCAATGCTTTTTTGATCTGAGCAAAGGAAAAGGAATAGCCATTTCCCAAGATGGGATACAGCAGGGGTTGGCAACCTATGCCTGAGCACCAAATTCAGCCTGCTTCTTGCTTTTGTACAGCTGGGAGTTAAGCATGGCTTTTACATTTTTCAAAGTTCATAAACATAGAAACAACAAAAAAGAGAAAACTGAATGTGGCGCTCAAAACCCCCAAATGCTCACAATCTCTTTACAAACTTTGGCAACCCCTAGGCCATAGGAGACAGGGTCTAGGGAGGAAGACTAAAGCTTAGTGTTGAGCATGCTAAGCTCAGGGGACCATGTGGACGTCCAAGTGCAGATGCTTAGTGGGCAGTTACAGACAGGGCAGTGCCAAGGCTGGGGGAACAAGAGGGCTGGAAATACAAGTTTAGAAGTCTTCTGTATTAGTCCATTTTCACTGCTGATAAAGACATACCCAAAACTGGGTAATTTATAAAGAAAAATAAGTTTAATGGATTCATAGTTCCACGTGGCTGGGAGGCCTCACAATCATGGCACCTTATATGGTGACAGATGAGAAAATGAGAGCCAAGTGAAACGGGAAACCCCTTATAAAACCATCAGAACTCGTGAGACTTATTCACTATCACAAGAACAATACTGGGGAAACTGCCCCCATTGTTCAATTATCTCCCACAGGGTCCCTCCCACAACACGTGGGAATTATGGGAGCTGCAATACAAAATGAGACTTGGGTGGAGACACAGTCAAACCATATCACCTTCCATCAAAATGGTGTTTAAAGCCATAAGAATGGAGGGTTCACCTAAGGTATAAGGAAAAAAACAACATGCAGTGGCTCATGCTTGTAACCCCAGCACTTTGGGAGGCCAAGGCAGACAGATCACTTGAGGTAAAGAGTTCGAGACCAGCCTGGCCAACACTGGGCAACATAGCGAAACACCATCTCTACTAAAAATGTAAAAATTAGCTAGGTGTGGTGGCACATGCCTGTAATCCCAGCTATGGCAGGAGGCTGAGGCACAAGAATCACTTGAACCCAGGAGGCGGAGGCTGCAGTGAGCTGAGACTGCACCATTGCACTCAAGCCTAGCTGACAAAGTGAGACTCTGTTTCAGGAAAAAAAAAAAACACCAACAACGCCCACAGACTGAGCCCCGTGGCCTAAAAGAGGTAGAGATCAGAAAGCTAAGACAGAATCAGGACAGGATGCCGAGGAAGAACAGCCAAGAGAGCAGGAGGCAGCCAGCCAGCATGGGGTACACTTCCTCTCTTTTGATCCTCAAAGCCACTCAACAAGAGGGTATACCTATCCCAGTTTACTGATGAGGAAAGTCACCCTACTAGGAAGAGGCAAACAGACCCACACCCAGGCCTCTCTAGCTCTACCTATTCCACATGGCTTTTCTGCAGAGCAACCTATTGAGTTATTAGTGATGCAACAAATACAATTAAAACCAAATAATTTCAGGTAGGCTGTAAGACAATCTTTCCTTCTAAGTAAAAAGCTAATTCTATGGTTGAAGGCTGAGAGCCTCATCAAGACAACCAAGCACTGTACAGATTCAAAGCATGTTACAGGCATCGTCAAACAGCTCACAAGGTCATCCCCAGGGACAGAGAGAAAGCTATTTTTCCTAACTTGATGAACAATTCTGAAGTTTATCCAAAGGAGTAATAACTAAATGAGAAAAACTACGTAAGTTTCATAGAAAATAAAGTTTACTGGATAACAGTAAAGGTTAGTTACTAGAACAGCTTGAAAAATAAGGTACTAGCACACACCAAAATCTCAGAATTAAACCCAATATCCAGGGAAATTCTGGCACTGCAAAATAAAATTGAAAGGAACGATTTCTCTATAAATACGAGTCAATGATAACTGTTTGAAACAAAACTTCTTACCACATAGCATATGATAAAATAAATTTCAAGAAGATTAAATTTCATGTTATGTAATCATAAAATAAAACTCAAAGAAAAAGTAAAAGAATTTTGCCCCAAACTGAGGAAGACTTCTTTTAACAGAGAAAATCACGGAAGGTGAAAACATAAAGGAAAATACAAACAACTTTAAATGAACAAAGTTATTTAACTTTGTAGATAAAAAGATACCTTAAACAAAACATAAAGGCAAACGATGACAAAGTATTAAGACACAAGGAGCTCTAAGACGTCATCAAGGTAAAATACGAGCACTACAGAAATGAGCAAGAGATGTAAATAAATTTTTTCAAAGTTTCTATAATAAACATGTTATGGGGGAAGATTAAAAAGGAAAAGAATTACCTATAGCTTAATTAAAGCTACATCTGGATCAGCAATGGAGCTAGAACAAGGGGTCTGTGATTCAGCACTCTATTTACCAAGCCAGCCCCAGGTAAAACATGAGATGCTGGTGTCGAAAGAGAAACACAAATAATGAAATACAGCTGCCCTGTGGGAAAGCAATCATCTCGGATTTAGAAATAAAGCTGCACTGACACCTCCTATTTCCATCCCTTTAGCCCCACTTTAACCCTTTCTTCCTAGAATCAGAGGTTTGAGGCTGAAAGAAACCCAAGAAACGTTAAGGTCTCATTTCCTTATTTTGCAGTGTAACAAAACTGAGACCCACGTAGTGGAAGAAGTTGGCACTGAGGCAGGATACCAGTTCCAGGGGTCCTCTCATTGCACCTGATGACTGATGCTCTTCTTTTTTTGGGGGGAGGGGTGGAGAATGAGGTCTCACGCTGTCACCCAGGCTGGAGTACTGTGGTGCGATCTTGGCTCACTGCAACTTCTGCCTCCAGTCTCAAGCAACCCTCCACCTCAGCTTCCCAAGTAACTGGGACTACAGGCATGTGCCACCACGCCCTGTTAATTTTTTTGTATTTTTGGTAGAGGCAGGATTTCACCATGTTTCCCAGGCTGGTCTCC